ACGAGGATTGGACAGTGGCACGAAGCTTCAACCCGCAGCTGTGATTCTGTGATGTGATGATGCACAGGTGCGTCATCAGTGGCGTCCCTTATGCAGAACACATAGAACACGACACACACACGCAACACAAACACACACACACACACACACACACACACACACACACACACACACACAACACACACAGCACACACACAACACACACACACACACGCACACGCACACACACACAGCACACACACACACACCACACACAACACACACACACACACACACACACATGCATCGTTGTGCAGCGAGGAAGAGGTCATGTGGATGCGGGGCTGATAAACGTTGGCAGGCAGCATCTCCAGAATACATGTCAAGCCAGCGAGATGCACGCTGCCAGGCTTGCGGTGCGAGGGCACGTACATATGGACGACACTATGTCCTGGCATCCGCGTCAGGTAACTTCACAGGCACAAATCTGGTGCTTGCGAGCATAGGTGGCACCATCAACGCCAAGGGAAACAAATCACCCCGTTAAAGCAGATTCCGGATATCTCATATCTACCTTCATCATTCAGATCTAACAAACAGCCCCTGGAGAAAACTCACTCACAGACACGCTGATATTTTTGTAAAAAGCGCGAGGACGTTTTTGAAAGGGCCCTATTAAATTTTTGCGATGTTGTTAAAAACGCACGTCTGATTGCACTGAGTCGATTGCATTGATGGCATATATATATATATATATATATATATATATATATATAGATAGATATATATAGTATAGAGAGAGAGAGAGAGAGAGAGAGAGAGAGAGAGAGAGAGAGAGAGAGAGAGAGAGAGAGAGAGAGAGAGAGAGAGAGAGTAGAGAGAGAGAGAGAGAGAGAGAGAGAGAGAGAGAGAGAGAGGAGAGAGAGAGAGAGAGAGAGAGAGAGAGAGAGAGATAGAGAGAGAAGAGAGAAGAGAGGAGAGAAGAGAGAGAGAGAGAGAGAGAGAGGAGAGAGAGAGAGAGAGAGAAGAGTAGAGAGGATGAGAGAGAGAGAGAGAGAGAGAGAGAGAGAGAGTACTTACATGCACAACAATCTATGACAGCAAAGCACATGACCTTGGTCTAGGCCATTACCTAGCTCCATGGATACCACCCGCAAAACACATGCTGATCAAATTAGGCAGGTGACGGGATAATTTTGGACGCAGATTTTGAATACTCCACTGAAAACACCTTGTGATGACGTTCTAATGTGTATGAAGGTCACAATAGGTCATGCGAGGACATGCAAGGTGATTTGAGGTCGTTGAAGCTCAATGGTCTATGCTAACAGCAGTGGAGAGGCTAAATAAACTAGCGCGATGCGTGCAACCACCTCCTCATCGCGTTTGTGAAGCTAATCTCACTTCATGCACCAGCGTACCTGTTCTCAATTTGGTACAGATGCATTACTAGGCGTCGAAGGGGCCTTGCATGATGTGGACAAGAGCTATGCGATCTTGAATACCTCTAGATGTACAATACACTGTTTTTGGCCACAGAAAAGACTACTGGTCATACAGAGACGGTTGGCACTTCAATTTTTACTCTTAGATGGCTTACAAACATGACTTAAATTGACCTCAGACGACCTCTAGGTCACCCTTTATTGACATTTTTGTGTCTGGAATACTTTTGCCCCACAGCTGCACCTAATGAGATGGACTTGGCCAGAAGCACACTAAGGAAAAGTATCGTGTTTGTAGGCTACTGGTGGGCCAATTTCTAACGGTGTCCTGGTCTGACTTGACTCCTATGGGGGAGCAAAAATGCTCGTAATGGACTTCCCCACAGTCTTGACGTTTATTTCCGTTCCCTCAATATTCGTCTCGACGTGTTAACATAGGTTTTAACTTCATCTAGCGGAACGACCGTTTTCGACCTTTCATAACCCCTGGTGACCTCATACCTTAGGTCAAAAATCTCGTTTGCACTATTCATGATTTGACGAGGACACAGACCCGGGCCGGGCGCAGCTTGATATGAACGCACGCATACTCTAATATCAGTGCTCCTTGTTTCGTCATGCATGCTCCTCGTGTGTACTTTATTCCGTTATGGACATCGTGGTCTTCTGCGTGTTCTTTCCCAAGAAATGCTTTTTCAGTTCACATGCAAGTATCCACTGACCCAACGCTCAGCGCGGGGCCATCGCGAGAAGCATTGTTGTCGTTTGGAATTTTGATGATTTTGTTGTGGAAGAGAGTCAGAGGTGGTTAGAACGCAACGCAAATAGTGTGTGTGTGTGTGGTTTGTATTGTCTAGGTAATGTGTTAGACATTGCAGTTGGGCACCCCTGCTGTTGTAAAATGGAAATCGTGTATGCAAAAACAGTAAGTGTTTTGCTGTCACTTTCCTCTAAGCGCAAGCACACAAGCTGAACTGCAACTGCCCTATGTACTAATAACTTAATGCAATATCTTTCGAATCGATTAATTTTTTTTTGTCTTAAGTTACGAAATCATGAAATCAAATCGAGGCGTCCGCAGCCGAAGCCAAATATTAACTCTACAAGACGAGTCACCCCCAGGTCCATAACACACTTTTGCTACAGCGCGCCTCTGTGCAGTATGCTGCCACTGAACTCTGCGGGCTTTGCCAAGGTCAAGGTCATGCAAACAATGGGCGCGGCTTTTCGATTATTCGCTCCGAGCCTCGAGGCATTGTCAAACTGAAACGTTGTTAGTCGAGCCCACGTTACGCTGGTTTGTCTTGTGTTCTGCTTTCATTTAACTGAAATTAGCTGTTTATATCTTGTTGACGTACTCGCATGGAAGTCGCATTCTTTTTCTGCTCCCTGATTAGCATTTGTCAACTCCGAGACAAAAAGTCCCAAATTAGGCCAGTATAAAACTTGACCGGAAAGCATATAGGCCAAGCATTGCCCGGCTCTTTTCTGAGGAAATTGCTTGCAAGAGATTGGTGAATGGAATAAATCCGCGAAACCTTGTCTCTCGCCCATGCGCTTTATTGTGCGATTTTATATATTACTTTATTGTGCCGAATGGCGCACGTTGTACTTTCATCTCACGAAACTTTGAGCAGCAGTATTTTCATCGCACAAAAATAGCATTCACCCAGTTATTAAATCACTGTGTATAAGCATATGGCCATATAACCACTAAGCTTGATCAATTTTCAAGAGGCCCAAGGTAAAAGGTTAAGATGAATGAAAATTGTTTGCTTTATGTGCTCATACAGCACTATTAAAAAACGATGCAGCTGGGTGTGGTTTTGCTTCACGAAACCAGTTACAGAAGAGTAAAAACAATGAGCCAATTTTGCCGTACAATGTTTCCAGCACAGTAGGTGTATAAACTACTATGCTGGTTATAGTTCAGAATAGCGGCACTTATTTTTACTACGTCGAAACAAGTCAGGTTCAGAATCCTCCATCCTTTGCGTGGTTTGTCTCTGAGTCCCGCATTACTCGAGAGATGGGGCTGTAATATGGCCGATAATGGTCCAAACCACAGTCGGGCGAACGGTTTCAGCCCCCGCAGAGTGTGACAGTCAGGTCACCCGAAAGCCGCAGCCTGGTCAGCCCAGGCGCCTACGGCCAGGTCAGGTCGGGGCATGTCAGCCGGTCGGCGGCGGCCAGGTCAGGTCAGTCGGCCGGCGGCGACCGGGTCAGGTCAGGTCAGTCGGCCGACGGCGGCCAGTTCAGGTTCAGGTCAGGTAAGGTCTGTCCGGGTACCGGCGGCCAGGTCAGGCCAGGTCAGGTCAGGTCAGGTCAGTCGGCCGGCGGCGACCGGGTCAGGTCAGGTCAGTCGGCCGGCGGCGGCCAGTTCAGGTCAGGTGAGGTCTGCCGCGGGTACCGACGGCCAGGTCAGGCCAAATCAAGTCAGATCAGGTCAGTCGGCCGGTGGCGGCCAGTTCAGGTCAGGTGAGGTCTGCCGTGGGTACCGACGGCCAGGTCAGGCCAAATCAAGTCAGATCAGGTCAGTTGGCCGGCGGCGGCCAGTTCAGGTCAGTTGAGGTCTGCCCGGGTACCGACGGCCAGGTCAGGCCAAGTCAAGTCAGGTCAGGTCAGGTCAGTCGGCCGGCGGTGGCCAAGTCAGGTCAGGCCAGCCGGTCGCCGCCACCAGCGCCGCTCGTCGCAATGTCTCCCCGGCTAACTGCGGTGCGGCGCGCTTTCTCCGACGCACGACGCGGACGAGGCGGCAGGCTGACACGGTTCCAGAGCTGGCGGCCATGACGGCACCCTCACGACTGTCCCTGCCCGGCTGACCACGCCGTAACGCCCCAGATACAGCCGCAGGCGGCGAGCGACTGCTCTGCGGCTGGGCTAGGCCGCTGTCGCAGAGCGCTCAAGCTGCTGAGGCTGTTTTGTGCCGTCTGGTTGTGCGCATGCCTAGTTGTATTGTGTTCGGGTAGCCTCGAATCCCAAGTCACTGTTTGTAGATATAAAGGCGTGCAATTTCAAATTAGCTGCATTTTCCATGAGTTCAACAACAACAACATGCATAGCACAAGTCATAACGATCTCATTCCTCACCAACATCTAAGCTACGACCGCGAGGTAATTCGGCTGCCTGAAGCCATCGGTAGTATGCGCGTAACAGAACAGAACAATACAAAAGTAAAACAAAGGCCCACGCAGTGATGGACGGCGATGGTCGTCGCTATTTTGTACATCCGAACCGTCAATCGCTCGCACGCTCCATAGTTCCGGGGCGAGGTAATCCACCTGCTGCGGTTGCTGAGCGGCTCGTCTTCTCCGGAAGAGCAGCAGCCCGCAGCGCACCGCCGAGGCCGCCAGTAGCGCTGCCGAACAGCGCGCCGCCAGGCGGCCAACTGGGAAACTAACCGCGAACAGAGCTGATCGAATACCCACCTCCCTTTCAGATCGAGAAGCACGCATATTGCATGTAGGCTCGCTGCACAGATCAGCAGGGTGAGCTGCGTCTCCGACTCTGGGTGCTGACACTGGCGCTGACGGTATTTGCTGGGCACTGCGGTACCGATAAGGGAAGCACTGAGCCCCGTTCGTCGACGCGCTGTGGGAACCACTTCGCCAACAAACAGAGCTGGGTGGGGCCGGAACGCGCCGTTTATCCCGGGGCCCGAGCGCAATAACAGGAACCGTGCACTCATTCACACCCCTCAAAGACCCATCCAGGCCAGGAAGCCCGAGAGGGATTTGCCCCGCATTTGCCGATCGATTCTGTCGGACGCGCCGCCAGTGAGCCATTGCAGGAACGTGGGACCGTCGGAACGGGACGTGCGTCTGCCGACCAGCCACTCCAGGAACGTGGGACCGTCGGAACGGGACGTGCGTCCGCCGACCAGCCACTCCAGGAACGTGGGACCGTCGAAGCGGTTCAATATGTTCTGCAACAGGAACAAGCATGTGACGGAAGGCACGAGGAACAAAGTGTGCGTGTTCGCCTGCTTGTCGTTGCGTTCGTGCGCTTCTATGCCTCTCAGGCATGCCACTTAAATCGTAAAGATATTGTCTGAAGCATGCTGAGAATTTTGAACATTACTGTGATCTTTCACAATGTTTGGATCGATTTCACCAGATCGCGGTACCGTTTAGCAGGCGATTATCATTCCGAACTGATATTGAATATGGAGGTCAAGTTATTCGGGCGGATCAGACATCATTGGCTATGCGCAGCATGCCATCGGCCGGGAACGGACCGACCGACGAACTGGTGAGATATGCGCCTCTCCAAACGGTGCCTGTCGCCGGTCGCGTGTCTCCGGCGGGGTCACTGACCTGCGGCCGGCAGTCCTGGTACTCGCGGTCCAGGTCCACGCGGTCCATGCCCAGCTGTAACAGCGCCGAAAAGGCCCGCTCCAGGGTGAATGGGTGCGGGTGCTGCTCCCGCGTCAGCAGCCACACCGTCTCTGGCGACCACAGGTCACGAACGGGTCACGGTCACGAGGACGCGGGCAAAGGTCACGACGGCACGGCCAGTGCTACGTGAAAGGATTCAGCTCTACGTCAGCAGGGAGCCAAGGTCATTCCAGGAGAAGACAAGCACACCTTCACGGGGGTCAAGGCCATGCTATCAGAGGTCAAGGACGCATCAGCAGATGCACCGCGCATTCACACGGGCGGCGCTTCGCCTGCCTGTAAGAAGTTTTCTCATGCGATGGTCCTTTGAATATCCGGTCGCTGCCCCTCTGAGATCAGAGATTTCTTGAGAGCCTCCGACTCTTCTCAGAGCCCGCGACTCCGACTCGAGAGTCCTCACCTCGTTTGTTGAGCACGTTTGTGCCGCTGCACTGGTACTCCACCGTGAAGTTAGCATAGTCTGTGGCTATCACCTGATAGTCCTCATTTCTGTTGTCTGCAACGACAGGATTCACATCAGATTACCCTGCCAGCGCCATGCCGAAATGAAGTGTGCATGTAAGCGGAAGGTCAGCAGACCACGGGACGGCGTACTTGACAGTGGCCGTGCGACTATTGTGGCTGACAAAGATAGCGTGTCATTTGACACACGACAGTGGACTTTTTGTAAAGTCATATGGAAGTAGGAGACCAATATATAAACCTGTCCTTGAGTTTCACATTCGTAATTTCCAACATTTGACAGCTCACGCGATTTCGCCTCTTTCACCGGCTGTGAATGCTGTCTCGCCCCCTGTCGAACCCACGACTGGCGTGTTGAGTTCCATGCGACCACCACGACAAAACTCAAAACACAGCTTGGCTCTACGTCCCATTTTTTTTTAGATCTTTCAGCCGCTTTTTCCGATTGGCGGGCGTCGGGAGGAGTCAGACGAGATCACGTTGCACTTCCGCACGTTCTGCGAAGTATTCGACGTCTGCAGCACATCAATTTACGTCCGAGTGTTCGCTTTCAAGTGACAAGATGAATACCATTAATCCTTAAATCATCCCATGACGTGCCTCACAATTTTGAATTTTCCCTTTGACGGCTTTGCGCTTAACGAGCGGTGCTGTTCCTGTTACAGCATGAGAAAGCAATGACATAAGCAGATTCCATGCAAGTTGTACCCAGGAAGGGCAAGATTGGAACCCAATTTATTTATCCGTCATCTTCAACATTCACCCGTTGGTTTCTAACCAACTGACATTTATTCCAGCTGGCACCACCGGCAGCACAGAGACTTTCACATTTACACCTTTGAAACTTCAGCTTCACAAGGATTTTTTTGCACTTTGGGATCGTAGACTAGTCGCAATGATGTACTTCGCATTTGCATCGAAAACTGAGCGATTTCGCCCGCGTTCGCATCTTGGTGTTAAGGATTTGACTTGAGATGAGTTTAGCTGGGGCTCTGGAGCAGTGTCTGACACTGACAAACTTCGTTTTCCGATCTTGTGAAACATATAAATAAACAAATAAATAAATAAATATATATATATATATATATCATATAATTGAAGTAGAATCACTTCAGCTCAAATGGTCATGCCCCGAAACCATCTGGTTTCACCTCCTTAGGTCCGCAGGCAGGATCACTATTGTCTTTGAAAGTTAATTGGTCGTCATGTCATTCATTGGCGCATGAAGCAAGGCAGTCCCTCAAGACCTCTCAGCCTCACTTGGATGGAGGCAAACAGTGAAAGCTTCCTGAGTGGCGCGGTAAGTCCTGACCGTCTGTTTGAGCTGGTTGGAGTAACGTCAGATTCACGGAGCGAACTAGCAACCGCTCTCTTCCAATCAACGGCTCATATCGGCGTACGCATAAACTGCGTCTCACTCAACTTTCGTGATCACTCCAGTAAAACCGTGGCTAAACAAACAAATTCATGCATGAGGAAAACAGGACAAGTATTTATTACGAGCGAAGTGCAATCAACACTGGTGAACAGCCTGAGATGGAGTACATCAGAGATATCGATCGCCCTTGGCGAAGACTGCGAGCCAAAGGCCATTATTACGTCCATACGACCCTCAACGGTCCACCGCTGGTGTGTTACGGGTCGGTGGCTGCCCTCTACCGATGGCGGAAAAACAACAGGACCGCTGAAGCCGAACTCATTAAATGCGGTCGCTCACTGAAGTTGAAAAACGCCTTGCTATGAGCCCATTTCTCCTAAATATTGCGGACCAGCTACCACCTACGCGGGCATTAGTATAACATTGAACCGCAGAGTCGCGAACGGCGAGATCCCTGCCAAGGAGGCACCCCCACCTACAGGCAGAAGCGTCCGCATCCCTGCGGAAGAGGCACTCCCACCCTGCGTGTGGGCCACCCGACCCTCTGTCCGAGCCACCCGACTCTGCGACGGAGCCGCCTAAACACTGCTGCCGGAGGTAGGGCCGGACCGTTACGGGCGTCACGCTGTCACGCAGGCCGTCACGCTGCGTGACGCCGCCACCGCACGGTGGCCATCTGTAACGAGGGTTACGGGCGAGTGGCGAAGTAAGCCAGGGTGCAGGAGCGCGGCGCCGGACTTCGCCGGGGATCGAGGACGTGGGACCGTGGTGCGGGGCGCCTGATCCTCGTGACTGGTGGTCCTCAGGCCCGAGGCCTTCGGCTGGCCGCTCAGCGATTAGCGTTTGTGTTGTTTCTCAGCGCGTGTGGCTGCTTACGTTCTCAATGGTACGATCGATAGCGCGGTTGTGACGGACGGCGCTGGAAACAGCCTGCGGTAGGTGTCCGATTCACACTCTTGTGGCGGCGGGTTGAGCATGCTACACACTTCTGAGCATTGCCTCCCCCTGCGAAGCCTAGATATTGCTGGGGTTATCCAACGTGGGAAGTACTAGAAGGTTTCATGTGCAAGCGTATGAACTATCTCCCAGAGTGTCTTGGGAGTTCTCATAGAGTTCTGCTGTGTGTAGGGACAGTACAAACAGCCACCCAGAAAGCGCCAAATCAGGATGACATGGTTCGCACATTAGCGAGACATCTTCCTCGTCATGCCCATGACCTTCCCCGACGTAGCCATCAATGTTGCAACTCCTCGAACCGTCAGAGCAGTGAGTACTCACAGAGGAAGTAGTTGAGATTGTACCGCAGCAGGGACGGTTCGGTCGGGTTCTTCATCCAAACGCGGCTCTGGTGGTTGGTCACCCGGTTTGTCCTGGAACATGCGACACACGCGTGGTTTTATTACATGCGTCGGCCCCATCCCAGGTCACGGGGTTACGAGATCTCTCACAGGCTCCGTGGGTCAGCTGGGGGGTAGGAGACAGAACGTGGAACAGCACCTCTCGTGAGGGACATCAGTGAGACACTGCCGGCAGTGAAGGAGTTGGAGTTGAGGACATGGCCGTTTTAGCTACATTTGCCCAGGTATCCACTAGTCTTAAGTGCCTACTCAGGGAAGGGCCGATGAGTGGAAAAGCATACTGCAGCAACATATCTGCCGAGAAAGAGGAGCTTGTTATTACTGGCCGAGATCTTGACAACGAAAACGTGCCTCGAGAAACTCCCTCGAACCTCGAGTTTGCCATTCGCAAAAACTCAGTCTCGTGATACTTCCGTCACTTCTGTCGCGCGTGCGTGCCTGATGACGTCATCACCTGCCGGCCGAGATCCGGGAGAAGACATGGGATCTCCACATCCGCGGAAAAGAGGCCAGGAGCAGGCGCCGAGCGCCGCGCGCCGTGCTCTGCGCATTCCTGGCTCATAAGCGGGATTCAGCGGCGTCAGTCGGTCAGACGTCGCCTTTGTCCGCTCGTGGCCGGGCCGACGCGCGGCGAAAGCGTCGTCGAAGCGCCGCCACCGCCGCTCGGCGCACTTTCTACCCGCGCCGTCATGGTGTGGGCAGGGCGCGCGTCCTTCTAGCGGTTCGGCGCGGGACGAAGCGCGAGGCGAGCGGCGAAAACGCCTCATCAGCATGCCCCTGGACAAAGCCGCGTGATGGAAATCCTGCGGCGCCTAAAGCTCCTCCCATCAACTCCTGAATTTATTCGCGCCTTTTAACTGGCCTCGTCTGCAAGTCAGAGTTTGGGACCACGCAGATTTTATGCCGCTCAGTGGGTGGTCTTTCGTTGAATTTTCGAAATGTGCTTTAGTACAGGATTCCAACAGATATCGGCGGGAGTTCCAAAGTTTAAATTCCGGGCTAAAATCCCAGGGCTAATGCTAAAATAGCCATGATATAAACCAAAATGATTAGCAGCAGACAGAGTAAGCGCAGTGCTCATGAACAAACATAATTGCCCCAGCCATCGCCAAGCCGCCATCGACGTAGGACTCTGAAATGACGTACATCAGCCTCATTTTAGGTTGGGATTGAAAGGCATAGTGGTTCAACCTTCTGATTGCCATCACCACCAATCTACAAGCTGTCGTGCTGACATGACATTGTGGCCATTGACACTGATATGATGTCGCGACGATTGACGGTGACGCCAACCAAATCATATGACTAAAGGCATGACGAGGATCTAGGCGAAGGACGCAAAGGCACAGTACTTCACGGAGGAAGAGGACCGCCTTCGTGAGGTCAGCGCCGATATTCTTACGGTCGGGTGCCGTAAGTGAGGTAGGCGACCATTCACTCAAACACGTACAGATCCCATCGGTAAATTGTGAACAACACTGGGCTGGTCCACCCCTCGGTAGGTCACCTATTGTGTTGTTTGTTTGCATTTGCGAGAGGACGGTAGAGTGTGGTGCTTACAGGCTGTTGACGTAAGTGGTTTGAACCTTCAGCTTGCTGTTGATGTCCTTGTAGTACGACCAGCTCCAGCACTGAGACAACGGCACGGATACTTCGTTGCTGAACTTGTACTGGAGGTACCAGCGACCCAAGTACTGAAACAAAGGTACGACAAATGTGGTTAGTGCATGTCATCAGGTGATACTGTACAACTGTGTTTTTTTCGAAATGTGCGTAGTGGCCCATTACACGTTCTGATCACGGAATTCGAATTATTATGTATCGGTTGATTGCGTAATCCCACGGCTGGGTGGTTTTGTGCTGCTCTTCTGATCTAAAATAGCTTCTCCACCATGTAAGTTTTCCATCACCTGCATTTCTCGGCTTTTATGGCCCGATTTTTTGCGTTTTTCAACGACCTGGCAGGCAAAGATTGCATTTCTGGCAGTCATTTTTTACTTTGCTAGCATTCTTTTGAATCGATGAGGTGTACACGTTCACCAATTTAGTTGCGCCGGCTATTTTCGAACCAAATGCGGTCTTTTTGGCACGGGACACTTGTTCACTAAGAAGCTTCCTGTCCGATCCAGGTTTGACGTGTGCTGCTCTGCGGACACAACGAAGCTCGAAGGCCAAAACCGGTCAACACCAGCAGCGCCTTTCCGACGCCATCCGATGCATGTCATTTCATGACGACTGTGGTAAAGAGTCATTGCATTAGTGGATAAGACTGGGCAGGTACATTCGCTTGCGAAATGAAATGGCATTCCCCCCCCCCCAAAAAGAAACAGTGAACACACTCACAGCACCGTAATGTTCATGGGCATGAAGCAAAATACCTGTTCTCTAACCTGTCCTATGCTAATCGATAGCCTCCTACCTTCAGCGCATGGTTGGGCCTTGGTGAAGGGTAATCGATTCTTCTCCCAGGGCCAGCTTCCGACACCAAACAAAAAGACAATGGACCGTTTCACAGCAGCACAATGTGCCAAATTATTTGGAATGCTCATCTCAATTTCAATATCGTTTAAATAAAGTGCATGGAAATCAATGATGCGACCAGTATGTAACTTTTTAAGGTGAAGTAGATATATCTGTGCAGGGGCTAACCGGTGTGAAGCAAAAATTCTCAAAATGTTCCAATTTGCAGATTTTCAAGCAACTTGATCGGCTGCCAACTTCCTCGTTGCGGTGCAGGTACTAAAATTATATGCAACATACACAGTCATGCGTAGGCCTTCACAACATACAAATTCGTCAGAACATATTTTTCAATGCGCTTCCAAAAAAAAAAACACGGTGAGAACGTTACAAACTAGTGGGCAATAGCACGATAAATATTGGGTATCTTCAAAATGGATGCTTGTTTGCTGGCAATGAACACAAAACATGCATATTTTCGTTGAAAATCAGTTCACCGCAGTACATATTTGAACAGTGTGTATGCTGTTGGTTTTGTGCTATCAACACATAGTTTTCACGGATTTCGACGCTCGAGTTCCAGCAAATAGCATGCGTTCATGCTAAAAATAAGGCCGGCAGCCGCTGCGCTCAACCAATGGCTGTACAGGGCGAGCGTCACGTGGGGGTGCGCGTGAGTCATGCTGGTGAGAAAATGCTCAACTGGGGTCGCATTGCCGGCTTAGAAATCTCAAGGTAGGCGTCGGTCCGTCAAACCAGTGGATGCTGATGCTCCCTTGGATAAACTACCATCCGATTGGACGGCCCTAACTCTTCGATTCCCTTCCGATCTCCCTAGATCTTCCATCGCACCTTGCCCCTGGGTCACGAAGGGCTCGGTATTAGCTAGTTTGTCTGCATGGCTCCGCATTAACCACAACCTTGTCTTTTCTTTCCTTATCACATGATCACAAAGTGTATTAGACCTATGAAACAGTCACTGGCAGGAGTCCTACCGTGCCCGCTTTTGCCCATCTGACAGAAGACCACTGTGCCAGGTCAGTAGGGATCCAATCCAGCCGTTTCCTTGCTTTTCGCCAGACGCTGGAGACGGAAATGCGGAGAGATGTTGCCACGAATCATAGAGAAAGAAACTTTTGTGAATAGACCCACCAGGCGCTTTACCAAGCTCATCGGGAAGCGGTGACCTGCCGGCTGGCACGGTGGGCTGCACCTGGCCCTGGGTGGCCGTGGTGAATAATATCGCTAGCCACGTGCCTGCCGACTGGCACGGTGGAATGCACCTGGCCTTGGGTGGCCGTGGTGAATAATATCGCTAGCCACGTGCCTGCCGGCTGGCACGGTGGAATGCACCTGGCCTTGGGTGGCCGTGGTGAATGGTATTGCCAGCCACTTACAGGTGCTGATGCCGAGAGGGCTGAATCTAGGAAGCTTGCATTTCATCCATGTCTGCCGTCCTTCCTCTGTTCAATTTTTTCATTACACATTAGGGTAGGGTAAGCGATACTTTTTGGGAGGGGCGACGTATGTGTTTAGTTTATGAAAGAGCTTGCGTTAAAAAATATCAAAGAACTTAACACACACCTTCAAAATGAGGTGTGACAATTTGAGGCTCATCTGACAAGCGAACATAAGGGTGCATCGGTGGTAAAGTGCTGCTGCCCGTGACAGACCTGCAATCTCTCAACATGTAGCGTCGTTGCAGTCGGCTCTCATTACGAGCCGAAGCCAGGCAGCGATAAGGGAAGATAGAACCGGCACTGTCGGTGGTGGCCGTTTAAGGAAATCGTTAAGGATTCAACGCCAAGTGGGGTCAATGGCTAGATACAGGGTTATACTGGAACCGTCTTACCGGGCTCTATTCCAACATAACTACAAAATATATATGAGATTTCGAATACTTCATTTCCAGAAGGTTCCTTATGACGAAATGGACTACAAAAATAGCGAGCTATTGAAGACGGCTAGCTCACCTCCAACGTGGTAGCTATCACTTTGTGATTCCCCATAAATCGTTTGCTGGCTGTCGAGTCGCAATAAATGCACTCTATGGATAATAATTGCATAAATGCACCAAAGCAACTTTGGAGGTTTTTGGAGGCCGGGGTCATTCAACAACATTTATCAAATATTCAGTAATGCGATGCCATCGCGAGCTGCACAACATTTTACTTAATATTGGCTGATAAGACAAGTCTCTGTAGAGTGCAGCATCCGTCCGTACTCAACCCAAACTGAACGCTAATTTGAGTTCCGAGCTACATTTCAATGTAGATCCGAAAACCACGATCAATATTCATATTAACTCGCTTATTCACCGTCAACACTAAGCCCGTTAGATGCCTGGCGAAAAAGCGCACACAAACGTCATGATGTTTCGGTGTTACGGTGTAAATAACATCAACATACCAAGATGTTATTCCCAGACCGTAGGGGCGCAGCGAAACGTCTCGTTCCTTATGTGGAGCAATGAGGCCCTGCTACATGGAGGCGGAAGGGGGGGGGAAGAGATGAAAACACACAGAAGCAGCAGCATACATCCATTCTGGGCCGCCTATGTCAGTCAATTATAACAGTTTTCAGTTGCTACCTCGCCAGCTCACTGTATATGGACGGAACCTTCATCGAGTGTTTCATGAACTTAAAAGCGTCACGATCGGACAGAAACCACGTGCAGGTCTCACGAACGGCACACCCCAGTATAAGTACGGGATAATCTGTCGAACAGTTTGCTCCAGGGCTCACGTGGGAAGCGTGGCTGACCGCAGGTAGCCTCCAGAGCGGAGCGTTATGGGGGAGGGGGGGGGGGGGCTGACGCCTCGTGAGCACAGGCGTCGTGATCTGTGAGGTAGGTGGTTTGGGCGTTTGTGGGCATACCACGACGGAAGAAATGAATGCTCGTGAATACGATGGCTCCGCAAGGAACATCTGGCAGTTGTAACCAAATGTTAAATGCCCACTTTGACGGAGGGAATGGCTGCGTTCGAATAAAACCCAGCAAGTGCGTAGGTCTGTGTCCGGAAATGTCACACTGAAACACGCACTTCCCTTTAAGCGTTTTCATTTCCTCCCTGATTTCGGCTTCGGCCATCCTAAGACAGTCTTGTGCGTTGCTTGGACACGAAACATGTACTGTTTGATTTGACTCACTAAGCGGATTGCACAGCTTTGATAGAACATTTTTTATTAATAACTAAGGGACAGCAGAATTTACCAACAGTTCGCGGATGTCCGCGCCAATTATTTCATCGGATGGTGCCAACTGAGCTATTTTTCGGGACCTCAGCTTCTGAGTGTTTTGAAACTTGCCATGCTGCTCCAATCTACGAGTGGCCCACTGCGTTCCACGGCTGGAAATTTTCCCTAATTAACACTCCCACGATCACTCATATGCATGTTTACTGGTTGATGGTTTCATGAATTCCGCCAGCACATATTCCCAGTAAGCATTGATCCTACTGATGAGTTTGTGTATGTGCTGGAGGGCTTCAACGTCAGAAGGTCATTTCAAAGAGAAACGCCTTGGTGCGTGCTGTACTCTCCGTGCAGCTACACATGGCGTTCAGATTAGCAAACAGCTAACACTGGGCTTTTGAATGCTGGTCTATCGCATGCTCGATCATAATGCTAGTGACGTGAAGTGTATTGGAACATCTAACCAAAAGACCTTTCCGGCGGCCATTCTATCTCAAGCTCCAGCGCTCTTCACCTTTCTGGTCTACTCCAACCGCACGTTTGCTTTAGCGAGCATTCCAGGGCGCTTGTCCTGACGAAATGACTCACCGAGTTGATGTCGAACTCTCTGATGGCAGGGAAGCGCCGGCACTGGGCGTAAGCACAGGTCACCAGCAGCAGCAGCCTCCAGACGGGTCCCATGGCCATGGCTTCCAGTCCCGGTCAGGTGTGCGGCGCAGAAGTCACAGCGGCACCCGGTCTGGAGCGGCACCGGCGGTCGACTGGCGGCACGCCACGGGCGCCGAGGCAGCTCCACGCTGCCTCCTCTAGGCCGGAGACGGAGTTTCACGCCACCTCCTTCCGGAGAGAGACGGAGCTCTACGCCATCTCCTCCCGACCAGTCACGGAACTCCACACCAGCTCCCCCCACCTCCTCTCGGCCAGAGACGGAGCTCTACACCATCTCCTCCCGACCGGTCACGGAACTCCACACCAGCTCCCCCCACCTCCTCCCGGACAGAGACGGAGCTCTACACCATCTCCTCCCGACCGGTCACGGAACTCCACACCAGCTCCCCCCACCTCCTCCCGGACAGAGACGGAGCTCTACGCCATCTCCTCCCGACCGGTCACGGAACTCCACACCAGCTCCCCCCCACCTCCTCCCGGCCAGAGACGGAGCTCCACACCACCTCCTCCCGGTCAGAGATGATGCTCCACACTACAGAGCTGCCCACGGTCTCCTCCCAGACAGGGGCGCAGCTACGTACGGTCTACTCTCAGTTGGGGACGGAGCCCCATGCAGGCTTCTCCCATCCACATGCAGAGCTCCACGCTGTCTCTCCTCGATGAAAAGTGCCGAGCTGGTTTCCAGGTTTGCCTTGAAATTCAAATTCATGCTAAACATACGCATATGTTTGTCATAGAATAGTCAGATGTCACTCACTCACTCAATTTGTTTCGCTTGGTGGGCGGTGAATCAAAACATGAAAAAACACGTGCATAGCATTCTAGCAGCAGCCTAACATACTAATTGTATGTTTTAAGGTCTCTGTACTGAGATGTTTGTATTTTTATCTCATTATCTTGAAATTTATCTGAAAATCTCAAAAGTGCACTCTATGACCCAAAATACCGCGCACACGTACGGGTCACTTTCACATAGCTTTCAAAGTTTTTGGACACTAAATGGCAGTTAACAGCGGTCAGCTGCACGCGTGCTCTTCAACTCATTCCATTGAAGGCAACGCATCTTACAGAAGAGTAGCGCACACGCCGGTATTGCAAGCGAACGTAACTGCATTTACTCTACAGCTGCACGATAGCCTTGCCACCGCAAGGCTCTGCTTAGACAATCATTGTTTCACCATCACAAAACATTCACCATTTGCTCTTGGACCGCTGCTTATTTTACTCGCTGCTATAAGCTATTATTCGTTCGGCTTGAAATAACTGTTCTAAATGCGCTCGCAGGGTTTCAATAAAAACTACCTTCTTTCCTTCGTCACATGCGAATATTTTGTACAACTAGCAATGTCACAATATTCGCAACACATGGGAAGTTCGAATAATCAAATATTAGCGCGTTCGAATCGAGTCTTAACCTGGAAACGTCGTGCATCGGCTGATGTGGACTGATATCTTGGGCCAAAGGGCGCGCACGGGCTCGCAATTGGGAATTGCCTCGGGGCTAATCTCTGACCCCGCTTCACAGGACACCTGTGCATCTCCCACTCCTGTCGACATTCGTTCCAAGTTTGCGCCTTCATCAACAACAGCTTCCACCTGGCGGGAATCCCACTAACTAAACCCTGATACCGTAAGAGGTCTATCCGCTAACTGGGATACTTCACACGCATTTGGTCATACGTGAAGAATCGTCCCTGCATGTCAATGCTATAATCACCGAATCTTATTCACACCGATTCGTGCGGCGATGGAAAGCAGAACAATTTTCTACCGGAATATAGTCATTAAACCAAAAAGTTTTCTCCCTCGTTAGGTGCACAGCATCCGGATTAAGCTTGGAGAACCAAGCTTGAAATATTTGGAGCAGGTCTGAATACGAAATGTTCAGCTTACTTCCTACAGCCACCAAACCTAGTCCTGAACAGCACGCTTACCGCAAGCGGTGCTATGCGTATCTGGTAAATACATTGTTATCCGGATATGTACTGCAAAAGGCGGACATTCCAGCTAAGTTTCAAAACGTTGCGCAAGCAACGTGCGGAAAGTGTTCCTGGTCCTCCTTGTTTTGCACTCAAGAACGCTGCGTCACGGGTCACCCCGGGCGGTCTGCCACGACAGATTAGCCTCCTAATTAGACTTGAACTTTGAATCAACAAACGGATGTGCATAGATATGCAAGGAACTATATAAATCAGCCTAGAAATCACCAGACCTCTGGAAGGTATTATTCCTTTCAAGGTAGAAAGGTATTCTTCCATTCATGCATCCTTGCATGAAATGTTTTTGTGCCCACAGGCTCAACACTCCTGAGACGTTATGCAATACAGGACATAAATTTTCTTCCTGCAATCTTTCTTTGACGAAAACCGAGACCTTACAATGTTAACTTTATCTTAAAATTCGACTTTTTTGCAAGGCCACATGATTTTCACGGTTTGAGGATGTTATCCATACCGACAAGGCCACGTAAACTTGGTTTTGTTTAGATTTCGTTAAACTCCAGATGTCTCAGCTTTGGAGAAGCTTTAGCATCTCTTGAACACTCTTCATCTTTTGTAAACACAGTTGGGTGATCTACAAATTGCGACATTCTCAACTCTACCCTAGAAATGCAAATTCCCCTAATTTTATTAAAGAACGTACCTTTACAGCCAGCATTCGACTGCCAGTGAAAACAGCATTCCCAATAGAGAGCATCCTTGTATTATACCACGCTGAGGGAAAACCATGTGGAAATGGAACCATTGATATTTATAGCTAACTCCGCGCGCGTGTACAAAAATTGGACCAATGTTATAAAGTCATCTCCGAACTTGGATGAACACAACATGTTAAATTTAAAGTCGTGCTCAAAGGAGTTACACGCGTATCAAGATCTAACGCACACTTTATGCTTATACTGTCGCCAATGACAGTATCATCATGCAACATTTTTATGTTTTTTATGTTGTCACGAATATGAATACATTAATGAACCCGGCCGCCTGAATCGATCAGTTTTTTATTACTTTCCTATGCGTATGCCAAGAACTTTGATATTTTTTTTATAAATGACGTCTAGCAGGTAGACCGGACGTTTGTTTTGTTAGCAATTTTTAGTCCCCTTTCTTAGGAGCCGGTGTTGTCATGCCACATCTTTGATTCACAAACAGTGATTTTAAGTCAAACGAATCATTGATGTAGTCTGCTATTAGACTCCCCAAATTGTCACACAATCGGAGACAAAATTATTTCATGAATCCCTGCAGTGCTGTGATTTGTTTTCAGCCATCAGATCCAAAGCGTGTTTGCGCTCACCGCCGGTAACTTTTCCCTTTCGCATGGCACGGTCGTTTTTAGAGCTGTGGAGCATCTTCAGGAAAGTATAAATATGATAGCAGTATATGATAGTATATAAATATGATGATAGTATATAAATATGATGATAGTATATAAATATGATGATTGCATATAAATATGATGATAGTATATAAATATAATGATAGTAGATAAACGTGATAATAAGTTTTAAATATATTTCGGGGGGCTTCGTTCGAACTATGCAGTTCAGCGAAGTATCACCGACAAGTTTCGAGAATACTTGTATCCCTGTAACAAACGGGCCACCTGCCACCTAGAATGCCGATTACCTTGTCTTCGGCCCGTTTCTTCAAGAGCCGCATAAAACATCTAGGAAGTTTTACGATTTTCTAACCAATTAACTTTCGAGAGGACCACCACTATTTTCCTAGCATCTTCTTTAGGGTCTTCTAGTTCTATCTTAGCTTTTTAATAGTTCTGACTTACTCTCCTCTCGAGGGCTACTTATAAGCGACTTCAGCTGTGGCATTCTGGTCTCCTGCTGCTCTCCACGGTTTCGTTTTGCTCGAAATGATTATTTGCCCTCTTATATTTTAAGTACTCCAACATTGCTCAACAGCGTCCCAATTAACGCTCCATGACGTACAGTGAGAATATGGTTCTGCTTCCGCGGCTGGGCGCCCGGTTGTCGGGGAATTTGTGCCGCCCCTGTTGTGTGCCACTGACCGCCCGGTTTGCGTGCGCTTTGGCGGCGCCCTTGCCTCAAAGGTGACCGCGGTGACTGGGGTAAAAGGTGAACGGGATCACGTGACCAGGCCTTCGGCCCGGCTTTGCGGGCCGGCCGACCATTTGTTTTGCTGATCGGGAGGCAGCTGGTCGCCGGCGCCGGCTGTGCCCGCTCCAAGACCGGCCATCGTCTTCCATTGTTCAAATGTTCTGCGGGAAGCGCTTCATCTTTTGTTGGCTGTTTTACCTCCCTTACTTCGTCTACAGCCGTTGTCATTTATCTTTCAGGTTCACTTCAAAAATATATTTATCTTTCTCCTCCGAATGCATCGACATTGAGGGTCATCGTTATGTTATTTGGTTGCGCCGCCGCCATGCTTGATGTTGGTTTGTTTTTCTTTGTCATCTCACCGAGCGTAGCGGTGCTTTCAGTTCTACCATTGTGATGCATCATTGCGTTGTTTAGCGTTGTTGCTGGATGGCCACATGGTGGCGCTCTAGGTATGTGATGGCCGCACGACGCCGGGCTCACGTATCCGTGCATTTTCCTGGTAATATATGCGAACCATTCTGTACGTGTGTGTACGTGCACGTGTACAAATTTGTATAATCAACATGCATTTGCAGAAACTGTTCGCACTGCAACGCACAGCGTCCTGCTGCGCGTTCGGGAGCGCGTGACAAGAACAAGCCCGAGGGCGATGCACCGTCACCATTCCCAGCAGCATCGTTGCCGCTCTTTATCGCAGCAATTAGCAGATGGCGGTGTTCAAAGCTATTTTTGAACCGTGGCGATTTTTTGTGTCCCTGTCATCAATAAGTTCGCGTGTCTTTGTCTTGATGATTGGTATTAAAGAGTAGTTACTTGCGGAAAGCTTTGCGGCTTAGGTGTGTTCTAATTAAACCGGTGCTGCAGTTTTAACATTAATACGGTAGTGCTGCACCCGTTGCAATTAACTGCGTGCATGGCATGGCCAACTCTTTTCTTACTTCGCTGTTGGGGCAAGGCGCTTCAAGCACTTGGGCCTGGTACCCGGTCTTGACACGTCAGCCTGACGCACAAACACCTTTGCTTCTCCT